CCCCCTTCGGGCTTACTTCCACGCAGACGCATTCATCACTGACCGGTAGATGTGTTGACCATTACACCAGCTTAGGGTTTCTATCGGTATTTAGTGCCATATCAATCATGCTTATATTTATGCTCGGAACTGATGCTGCCCACGTTTCTAGTATATACTGCCTCCTAATGCTTCCGCATTGATATGTGATCTTTCACCAACAGACTTCTTCACGACTATAACAAGCTCGTCAAGCGTGCCCAAAAATCTCACAAACGAATAAACCGCTGCTGACCACTGTCTTCCTTCTTGCTTTGCTAGGTATTCCTTAGAGTTGCCCTCATCTTGAAAGTCTCCCCGTAACCTCCTGAACTGGATCGCCCGGCCCACCAAAGGCGTTGGTAAAATTGCTGGGAGTGGCTCTCCAGACATCAATGAATGCTGGAGAAGGGTCATGGTTGACATCAGGTCAGCGATCAGGTTTTCGTCGCCTGCGCTTACGCGATAGAAGAATCTCTCGCGGACTGGTAGTGGTAGCTTCGTCGCGGTCATGCTAAACTGTGCTAGGAAGACGTTGAGGTTATTGCAAAGATGGTTGGCGCGGCTGAGCGTCTCAGTATCGATGTTTGAGGTTGAGAACTCAAATTTGGTCTTGAGGATTGGAAGGGCGATGGAGTTGAGCAGCTCTTCGGTCGTGGTAGCCTGCTTCTCGATGACCTTGACGAAATCATCAGGAGGCGAGCGCCACACTGAAATCAGAAGGGCATAGCGGTCTCTGATGCTCGACAGCTGGCTGGATAAGATTTGCCGATAATGTCTATTTCCGGAAAGGGGTCGGGGGAGAAGCGCAACGAGGACGGCGGCGCCAAAACCGATAAGGACAAGAAGGATTCGCCGCCAGAAGACCTCGTAGCCGACTCCGGGATTACCGTAACTGGGAATATGCGTATCAACCCAACTATACGACATAACCATGTACATAGTTGACGTAAGCATGATACCAGCGGCCATATGCTGTGGCGGAGCAAACAATCTCCACCACATCATACCGATGATAGCGACTGCCATGATGGCAGCTAAGCCGTATGGGTTTCCGGGACCATTACCAGATCCAATGTACCAGCACAAAAGACCCAAGATACCTCCAGCAACAGTGCCAAGGGTACGAATGAGGATTCCAGATGTAAAGTCAGACATGTAAGGTTCGAGAGCCATCTGCGCCATGATCAGAGCCCATAGTCCCTTTTCGCGATAGTAGAAGCCAGCTGATGATGGTATCACTGCGGGAACGGCGAGGGCAATAGTCAAGACGAGCGCACGAAGAGCGTGAAGACCCTCGACACCCGTAAAGAAGTTGATAAGCGCCAAGAAGACCAGACTCGATTTGCTTCGTCGGCGGCTCGTCGGCTGTTCCATACTTTCCAGAATGGTGGCTGTTGTTCTTGCCCCTTCAGGGTCTTCCTTTTCCTTTCGCTTCTTGCTGAAGAGACTTCGCTTCTTCTCAGGTTTGGAAATGACGGACATTGTTCGAGTGAGATCGTTAGAGTTGGGAATCGTGGAAGGCGGTGCATCTTGTGACAAGCCGAGCGAGAAAATGTGCTGGAGGCCTCTGGGTAGCCATACTCGCTTCGATGCTCGCACCCTCTCAACCTCGATAGCTCTTTCGAGAACCCCTCCAATATTCTTTGTCAGATTGATGAGTCGTTCCTGGTATAGAAGACCAGACATCAAGCCAAGCAGAGGAGGTGCGCGGTGATCGTTGTAGATAACCTTGCCGTTGGCATCGAAGAGATGAGCATGAGGGGCGATCAATTGCTCTGCAGCCGTGTCTTCAAAATCTTCGAGCGCTTCTTGCAACAATGCAAGGATCTGCTCATGTTGACTGATTGTGTCGTTCTGAGAAGCTCCTGAGAATGCTTCGATGATGGCATTGACGCTTTGCTCGAGTGTTTGCAGCAGGGGAGTAGCGCATAAGGACAGTGCATCGATGGATTTGACAATCATCTCTTCAGTATCAGGGTGTCTTGTAAGCTCACGTAGATCAGCCGCTTTCGCAATATGATAAGCTAGAGGGTGCTTCTCGTTGTCAGACTTCTCAAGTTCCTCAGCCGCTTTGGTTAGAGCTTCATCTTTGGCAAAAAGCTCTTCGCGAGAGATTGACATCTGCAATAACTCGCCGAAGGATACCAGTACTTGTCGTAGTGGTTCTTGAAAAGACTTGATATCTTCGGGACTCCATCGTCGATAAGAAAAGTCCAAAGGTAGAAACTTGACAGCACTTTCGACGCTCTTGAAGGACACGGTCAAGGTACTCTTCAAGGCTTGTAGCTGCTCGGGCTCAAACCTGGCTCTCGTCTTAAAATGCCATGTCAGAGCCTTCACGTACCCATTCATGGGGCGGAGAAGGTCTGCCATGCTTCCAAGGGTGATTTGAGAGGTTGACTGCGGGAAAAACAACAAATTGCAAACAACTCCGACCCCAACTGCGATGGCACTTGGGAGAATCAAGACTTTCGGTATGGTGCCCTTGAAAGTAGGAATGAGTGGTGCTGTCGTGAAGTAGATGTCGGCAACAATCATGGAAAACATGGACACAAGCATCAAGTTGGGAGCAGAAACTCGCAGACGCGCCTGGCCAAAGTTTGTTAGTTGAAAACACGATTGGCTACACAATCAACTTACCATTAGATAGACAAACAACCCCATCATGCAGAAGTACGTGACCGATACGCGAGTATCCAACATAAAGCCTTCGTAGATAGCTATTTGTTGATAGGTTGCCTGGCCCGACGCTTGATCAACGTTGGTCGTGTTTTGAGGCATTGATTGTTGCAATTCCGCGTAGCGTTGTTGCAAATCAGCCAGAGGCCTTGTCGCCAAAGCAGCTTTCATCGTGATGACTCCCCAGGCCCAGCCGAGTGCAAGACCGACGCAGATCATAACTCCGGCTGCGAAGTGGATGAATACGACGCCCGAAGGCGGCATGATGAATAGGACAACACTGAAGACGCGTTAATGCCTGATAATATGGAATCTTCATGATGGACCTACCATCCGAAGAATGCCGACTGGCCGAGCACTCTCAGCGTGTCGCTGATGTAGATAAACAAGGTGAGGATCCAAACAGCCAAAGAGCACTTGAACAAAATCTTGAGGTCCTTGGCATTGAAGTGGTCCAGCCAAGCCGGGAGTCGCTTGGGGCTGTTGAAAGCATGGAAAGACGCCTCGTCATCTCCCATTGAGCTCTCCTCTTTCGTTTTCGACCGTTTCAGCCTCATGCCTCACACAGTCCGAGTGAACCGGCGATTGTTTTGGTGTTGTTTTGGTGACGTTTTTAGAGTTTGAAGAAATGCATTGAATTTGGGGATCGCCATGCCAGCGCGAGGCGGGAGTGGCGCTTATTTAGTCACGCTTTCAGGCGCTCATTTCGTATTGTCGACACTAAGACCAATGCGTGTAGATTGTCTTATCTAGACGCTAAACCCCTGCAATTTAAGATCACCAGAATCCGTGCAGATCAAATAGCCCATGCTCAGTGTAACATTGTGATGAAATTGTGCAAGTCATACCCAAGCGTAACCTTGTGTTTTGTTATGATCATCGTTGCGAGGCTTTGCACAGTAGTATTCGCATCAGATATCCAGATGTTATTCATAACCCAGATAGCCGAGGGTCGGTCTCGGTATCTTGTTGCGGCCTCCTAACCAGGCCGCCTACGACAATTCATGTTTATAGAATCCTTCATTGCATCTTCTATCATGCACCGTTCTATTCAAGCTTAGTGCCCTGAGATCCTTTACAGAATGAAACAAGGAAAGCGATTATGCAACCATACAGCCAATATCCCCGTCAGCACTAATAATTGGTTACTCTATAGCTACGGAGTAGTTGTGACTACAATACTATTGAATCAAAAAAAGGCAAGACTACGAGGGGGATGATCCGGTATTGTTAAAGAAAAGAAACGAATAACATGTTTGGGGTTGCCAGGTCCTTTTTCAAACTCAGCACAAGAGCCTAATGCTCGCAGTTGACGAAGCACTACTCATCTATGGAAGCTTATAAGTTCAATGTAGAAACTAGCGCGACAAAACGAGCTTGACAAGGCCAAAACAGGCGGCTGATACTCTCAACGAGAAGGGTCTGCAGCGTGGGAGACTAGAGCGAGGTTGACCGGACCTAAAGGTCCTAGCCATGTGACAACGCTGCCCGTTCCATCGTCGGCTCGGTCCATGCCGCTTAAGCTATGCATTGCAACCAACCATGTGCCCTTCGACAGCCACAATATGCAGCTCGGAGCAAATGTGACAGCCTAAGCTCCGAGGGCACTGGAATGAGGCTCAAGTCTAGGCCAAGTCTTTGCGCGGGGTTCAGAGACTCAGCTGAGACGCCACGAACGTTCAATGCGCTGATGCGTAAGCAAGCAGCACCATTGTGTGATAAGAGGCTTGAATTAAGAAGATTCATTTCGCCAATTACCACGGGGAGTCTCAGCCTGTGTTATGAGACTTAT